TTGAGATGCAAGGAGTCCGAAGGAGGAGTCGTGAAGAGATCATTTGAGAAAACGATCGCGGTACGATAGCGTTTCTCAAACATGTGGTGCATGTGGAGAAAAGTACATAGAGCGAAACTCGAACGCAATTCCGAGCTTCTGTTGTTTATCCCCCGATTATTTGTCACCGACATCAATTTCATCCTGATCGGCGCGCACAGAACTTAATTTTGATGAGAAACTTATACGATAAATAATACAATATTATTTGAATAATATCAATTCAAATAATATGTAATTTTTCATTTCCTGGAATTCTTTTAAGCTACTACTTTTAAGCTACTAAGAATAATCCAAGTTTTAAGTAAACGTGCGATAACCCACAATATTGAGATTCAATAATAAAATTAATAATTTTATTCTCGCTTATTCGATAGCTTGCGTTATTAAATACGATCGTATGAAACACACTCGATTGTACTTCTCCCTCTGTAAAGCTTGTTCAAATGACAATTTTTAGCATCGTCACTGCCACGTGAATTTGTGCCACTGCCTTTGTCTCTGAAATTTTCGAAATTAAAAAACTCGAGCAAATTCAAGACCAAGTGCCTGTCTACATGTTTCGCCTAAGCAGTTATCTTTTTCTCCGCGTTTACAATTCAGACAACAAAATTGATTTGACGAGCCCCTATCTTTGCTGACGACAAGCGAATTTGTTCGTCACATCCTTGTTCGATCTCGCTCTTCACACGGTAAAATCAGAACGCGAAATCGGAGCCAATCGGTCAAAGACTTTGCAATACATAAATCGAAACGTGGCAGCAAACAAGGAGAAATGTAAAATATTTCATAAATGACAACACCGAGATGTGTGCGGGCATAAGGAAATACAAATGTGCTAGATGAGATCTGAAATGCGTGCGGAAATGATGATCGTGATACGTTGTCTAAAAAGCTTCTGAAGAATTTCACAATCAGAGCTTTCTCTTTTACGCTGCTAATTCGACATATTCGATATATGAAATGGAATAAGTTTATGACTGACGTCGTGGTAAGCGTATGAAAAAACGCAAAGAAACAGAAATACAAGTATTCAATTACGATATTATATTATTTATATAAGCCAAGAGAAGCTGTCAATCCGAATAAAACCGCTCGTTGTCGATTCGTTATACTTACAATTACAGCAAACTCACATATTACGATCGCTAGAAATATAATTCTTAAATAGCTTAACCAAAAAGGAGCGAACCGAAAACGAGCGTCTTTCGTTCGGTCATCAAGGCGTAATTGTGAATCGCGAAAAAATATAACGACGAGAAAGAGAGTTAAAAGTCTTCCTATGCTAATTACGACTCTAAAAGATAAAAGGCAAACATGTTGAAAAAAAATGCGAGCAAAAGCAGCGACCGGAGCCGGAGCGACTTGTGGTAACCGGCCGTTGAAAAGTCGGAATGAACAAGAATAAATAAGTTATAATAGAAGAGAATAGATAAACATCGAGATTAATGTGACAAAGTATTATACGTGACAATATCCACAATATATGAAAATCGCTGTGATCGCGCGTAGCAAACTTACGTTATAAGAAATTACAACCCCTTCGGCTTGTCTAATTTATGAAGAAATCCTCCGTATATACATATAATTAAATTTTACATCATATCAACAATGACAACAATAGTAACAATAATACAAATACAAATGAATTACTATTAGTTATACGTTATATGCTTATAATTCGTTTATATACCGAGATTTGAGACACGCTGAAATATTTTCACTCTCTATTACTACTTATGTATTATTAATCTTGGAAGGCTATTCCTTTTTCTCCCTCCCTCCCTCCCTCCCCTTTGCAAAATTTCCCTGCTATTATGATCGTTCGATCATCAACATGGCAAAATTGGAATTTAAAAAGTTGAATAGGAGATCAGATGTAATGCATAGGAAACGTCATGATAGACAATACTTAGCCGTTCAAGATTAATTTGTCGCAGCTATCGCTACGTCATCTATTCTACAAATCCATCTTTTTCAATGTACTACACATATGATACAAGAGACACATGATACAAGTGACACGAGTAACGCGTTAAAGTTTGCAACGCTACGTCTATCGAATAAAGTAATTGGCAATTATATTTTCCTTCGTACTAAATCGTATTGTGAAGAAGCATCGTCTAATTATAATATCGATCTTGCTCGTCCTACGGTTAAAAAGGCTCGCCTTTTGCGGTAATCGCTAAAAAGGGATGCATTACGTTAATAAGGAAACTTATGATAATGATAGACGGCGGTTGCAGATAGTGGTAGACTATTACTTTGCGGCACGTATGATACGTATCTATCGATTCGAGACTGATTCGTGTACCATGATTGCACGTA